CAATCTCTGCATTTGAGCATTGGTCAAATCACAGAGCTTTATTTACACATTTTGATTTTTAAAAGTTTGCACTTTAAAACAAACTTTTAAATGTCAGCTCAACAGACCACACAATTGAGTAATTGTCATGCTTCTAATTAAGTGATAAAAAGCAGCTACCAAATTAAATATAAATATTTAAATAATTTTACGCACACTGTTTTTCTTGACATCTCTTGATTGTCAAGAGACAATCTTGTCTGGACAAGATTTTTTTGTGGTATTGTGGGTATTGGGACAGACCCATAAACAACAGTTAAGAAGAACCACCTTCCTCCACCTCCAGATGACACACTCATCCTCATGGGTGGACCTTCTCCTATGATTCTGTTTGCCTGCAAACCTGTATTTCTTGATTCTGGTCCAACACTGCACATTTTACTTTAAAATGTAAAATTTTACTTTAAAATTTTATTGCCAACGCATTTTCAGAAAGCTACATGAACTGATCTGAGTCTATCGGATTAGAGAGACAAACTAAATGTGCAGCACTGTGGGTCCCAGGACTGGAGTTGAGCGCTACAAACAGTCATCATTGTAGATCCATTCCAGCAGAAGTCATCTAAAATAAATGAAAGGAAAAAAAACCCAAGAGGTTAATGACCAAATGTTGCATTGCTTCGATTCAGCACTAAGCGCATGATTCCATACATGCTGTATTCAGTGAGTAAAAACAAACCTATATGCCCTATTTAATGTAAGACTAATAATTTATTTGTCTTGTAAGACAATGTATTATATGCAAGACAAATAACTTATTCCATATTGTTTTACCTGGTCAAACTGAAACCATAAAACTCACTGTCCAGATACTCCTCAAGGGGGAGCTGGTGAATATCTGATCCTGCAGCTATAAATATTTTAATAAAATACGCAATTAGACACCATTATAGACATTATATCAGTCATTATCTTACAGATTATATATGTCAACAGTCATTTTAATACTGGCTTTAAAATAATTTGTTAAAATCTGTATTACAATCAAGCTTTATAATAAAAGCTGCTCGCGTTTCACGAGACTGACAAACAACACATTGAAATCATTGTTTAACTGTGAACAGACATGATACACATTCATTTAAATCAATCAGAACAAATACATCTACTTCACCAAACTAATAGAGTCTCGGAGAATCGTTTGTTCTATATTTAATGTGTGTTTACACTTTGACCATGTGCTTTTGAGTTCAGCACTTCATCTGTTTTACCTCATCAGTTGAGAGCTTGATCTGGGCTATCTAAACTAGTAGATCCATGTTAATCTGCTGGTCGAGACACTAATAAAATCATGTTTTTGTTGTAAAATAAATGAAGTTTAAATCACAGACAGAGCTTTTAACTGCGACTAAAACTAAAACTGAAATGTAATTTTCAATCCGCGCCACTAGGCGGCGTAAGCGGCTTTACGCTCAGTTTGACAGTTTGCTTGACAACATGACGCTTGTTCAAACAACACGTGCAGACCGTTTTAAACACATCTTATGCAGATGACAGCTCAGTGACAATATCTTAATGTCACTAAACAACACATATTTTAGCTCTTCGACAAATAAAACCGACGCGTAGTGCGATAAAGAGCGTCACGCTTCTCACCTGTAAGTACCTTCATCATACTCTTCACTTCTCTAGCAGTATTCTCATTTAGTCCTTTTTTATTTGTAAGTCATTATTTCGATGGTGTCTTTAACTTAAAATCTACTGTTTAAAATAGCTACTTGCTTAGGAAGGTTTATGAAGCTTCTATGAAAGTGTATCAGTCTTTGTTTACATGCTGCTCTCTGAACTCTCTGTTAGACCATTCAAATAACGAACAAATAGCCTTCTAATATTCATATTGTGAAATAGGAATCGTGTGTTATTCTGTGTTGTTGTAGTCTTGCTCTAGGCAATAATCTGCTGTTAACTACTGACCTGTTATTGTTCATGTTTTACTTTATTAATTGTTTATGATGAACTAAAAACTGACCATAACCTTTCAAGATCAAAATAATGTAAATATTCCAGAGAACCAACAAACTTTTGTTTTGTTTTGTCAACAGTCATACTGAAAGAGAGTTTTCTATTCAGTGTTCTTATACTTTTGTGACATGTAAAACAGTAATTTAATTCTGTCATCGGAACTAACCTGAGAAGAACAGTAGATTGAACCAAAATGATTACTGATACAGCAGTATTTAAGTATAATATGCTTTGCATTAATTTTTCACACTATATAGCTTTAATTTCATATGTAGACAATACCTGTCTTTATTGTATTACTGTGTCTTATTTTGTATACGTTTCCCCTACAGAATAAGAGATGTGTTTGGACCACACAGAGCTCTGGGACGTGTGGACAGACATTCGCTGTAATGAAGGACATCTGCTCATGGACAGGTGAGACTTATTACTTGTGTTTGTGTTTTATTGTGTACTTGGCATGTAGGTTACCATCATTTTCTTTTTGGAGGCTCACCCCTCTAGAAAGCAAATGATGGTAACCTAAATGGGTGGGGAAGGGACGG